TCCCCAGGCTTTATTCTTAGGTGGCATAGCTTAAAGGATAAAAAATTCTTTGTGTGTGTGTATACTTCATCTGCCCGAAAAAACTGGGAGGAGTAAAGGCATGAGAACTTGGGGGGAAAGAGGAAGCGTCCCAGAAAAATTTTCTTCACCTGCCTAGTGTGTGTGTGTGTGTGTGTGTGTGTGTGTGTGTGTGTGTGTGTTCTTTCTTTCCTAACTTCTCTTTGCAAGCCAGGTGTTAAGGCATGGATCAGCTGGGCTAAGTAAGGCTCCACTTTCTGCTTCTGGAAATCCAGACTAGGAACAGCGCTATTGTTCTCACTGATTCTCTGTTTTGGTCCTCCCACCTATTTCTCGTAGGCCAAGATCATAATCTTCTCATATAAGGATATTCTCAGAGAAGCGTCATAGGATGGATCCAAGACATACATTTTCCCTTTCTCCTGACACAGAGACCTCTGATTTATCAGAAATGCTAGGCATTTAATACAGGCAAATGGGACATGAGGAATGAAATGGAAATTGCAACTATCTTATAGAAAAAAAGTCTGTTTGTTCTAGTGATACTTAGGTGACTGGGAAAATGGCTGAAACCAAAACACTTCCCATGTAGCCCTTTTTTCTGGCTGAACTTCACTACCTGCTATGCATGGAGACACACCTACACATTCCACCATTCGCCACAGATTCAATTTCTGCATGTTTAAATACAACAGATCAAATATCTTGCTTACTTAGTTCTAATTCATTCATGTGTTATCCATACCAACAAAATTTTTACTTGATATACTGACGCTTAGCCCAATATAGATCCAGGATCTGATTGATATAAATTCATAAGCTAAGAGAAGCATTTTTAGAATAGGTAAATGAGAAACTGGTAGTTTGTTTCTATATTGTCAGATTCGTCTAAAAAACACCAGTCACTCGTTCTATATAAGCTGCCCCCTCACCCCCAGTTTTTTCCAGGTGGGAACTACTGATCTGGGGCAAAATTGAGTAAGAGTTCTGGGAAGAATTACAAGCAAATGAAGGGAGACATACAAAACATGTCTTATTACAACTAGTGCTGGGATTAGGATTAGATATGTGTGCAGTCATGCAAGTGTTGGGGGATCTGTTTTTAAAATATTAATATTTTTCAAGGACTTTTTTTTGCATTATCTATACTAATAAAAGGCTAATATGCTAATTAGATAGGGTCAACCGGACATCTTCCAGACGGACGGCTTATTTCCGGACAAAGCCATGGTGGCAGGGGCCAAGGCAGAGGCAGTTAGGGGCAATCAGGACAGCTAGGGGGCAAGCAGTTAGGGGGTGATCAGGCCAGTAGGGGAGAGCAGTTGGGGGTGATCAGGCTGGCAGGTGAGGGCAGGCCTAAACCAGCAGTCAGATATCTTCTGAGGGTTCCCAGATTGGAGAGGGTGCAGACCAGGCTGAGAGACACATCCCCCCCTCCCCATGCACTAATTTTGTGCACTGGGCCTCTAGTTTTCATTATAAACATTTAAAAATGTTTATAGGCTGAAACCGGTTTGGCTCAGTGGTAGAGCATTGGTCTGCGGACTGAAGGGTCCCAGGTTCGATTCCGGTCAAGGGCATGTACCTTGGTTGCGGGCACATCGCTGGTGGGTGTGCAAGAGGCAGCTGGTCGATGCTTCTCTTTCATCGACGTTTCTAACTCTCTATTCCTCTCTCTTCCTCTCTGTAAAAAATCAATAAAATATATTTAAAAAAAAAAAAAAAGAATATTGAGTGAGATTGACTTTTTTAAGTAAGTACACAGTGCCAGAAGTTTTATTCACCATTAATTTTGTACCATCAATGCCAATGCCAATACAGTGAAAAAGGTAAATAACATCTTAGAGTTATTATAAAAATCACTCTGACTCCACAGACCTCCTGAAAAGATCTTTAGAATCCACCTGGATCTATAGACCACACTTTGAGAACTGCTGCCTTAAAGAATAAGGTTTTTGTTTTGTTTTTTAATCTTCACTTGAGGATATGCTTGTTTGTTTGTTTTTTATTTTAGAAAGAGAGAAAGGAAGAGAGAGATAGAGACAGAAACATCAATTAGTTGCCTCCTCTACTCGCTCTGACCAGGGATTGAACCCACAACCAGGTATGTGCCCTGACTGGGAATCGAACTCACAACATTTTTGATGCATGGAACAAACTTCAATCATTTGAGCACCCAGCCAGGGCCATAAGCTTTTATTATTATTATTTTTAATATATTTTATTGATTTTTTACAGAGCGGAAGGAAGAGAGATAGAGAGCTAGAAACATTGCTGAGAGAGAAACATCGATCAGCTGCCTCCTGCACACCCTCTACTGGGGATGTGCCCGCAACCAAGGTACATGCCCTTGAATGGAATCAAACCTGGGACCTTTCAGTCCGCAGGCCGACACTCTATCCACTGAGGCAAACTGGTTTCGGCAAGGGGCATAAGCTTTTGACACTACTCATAACATTATCCGTTAACAGGCTAGGATCCTCAGTCAAATGGGGGCAACATAGTTACGGTTATCAAAAATAAGTGGTGAAGAATTGAAGCAAATTGACTCATCTGTCATATAATTAGTTCTGAGCAATAGCTAAGGCTAAAGACCAGATATGAATGAACAAGATGTGAAAGAATCTGAATGCCATGAATATAATCAATGACCTTTTAGGGCAAATGAGTGGAGAAATACCACCCCATCCTCCCTCACCTCCCAGAGCCTCCCAGGAATGAGGGAGCAGAGGAAACTACAGCTGGGCAGGCAGTTCCACAAAATGTACCACTGAACATGCCGAGGCTTTTCTGAGATCCTGGGGCCTGCCTGCCTGCCTGTGTCGGAAGCTTTCTTCTAACACTTCCCAGCAAAGCCTTGGGCAACTTCCAAAACCACTATCTTATCTATCAGTCTCCTCATGTGTAATATGAATATAATATTAATACCTTCCCCATGTGATTGTGGTCAGGAGTACAGAGCTTTGAGTGTAGTGCCTGGGAGAGTAAGCACCCAGTAGACGATCTTACTAAAAATAAGAACACCGTTTGTATTGATTCACTGCCCAGCACTCAGGAACTTTCGCCACATTTATAAGTGCTTCATCAGCCCTTTGTCTCGCCAGTGTCAGGTGTTAGAAAAGGTTACTGCCTCCCTCCAGCTAGATGGGGAAGCCTGTCTGGACCTGTCATTTCATCCCTGCTGCTTTGAAGGTGAGGCTTTCTCAACAACAAGAGAAATCTGACGCTTAAATAGGAAAACGCATCCATTAATGGGCAAATCAGTATGTCAAAGTGGAAGTGTTTATTACATAATAGAATTAGGTTTCATCTTTTCCTAAAATTGTTTTTACTGGTGTGAAAGGCATGTCTGAAAAACAAAGTAATTGTTTTTTAAAAATTGAAACGAGCAAAATATTTAACTTACCAACAGAAAAGCTTATCAGCCTTGCCTTTTTGCTCTTCTCTGTGGCAGACAAAATAATGTCCCCTACAAATGATGCCCACACCTAATACCCAGAAACTGTGAGTAGGACACCTTTATAGCAAACGGAACTCTGAGATGGGGAAGTTATCCATGATGATTGGGGGAAGGGGCAGCCAAGGAAACCACAAGGGTCTTTAAAATGCAGAGAGAGCCGAAGCCGGTTTGGCTCAGTGGTGGAGCATCGGTCTGCGGACTGAAAGGTCCCAGGTTCAATTCCGGGCAAGGGCATGTATCTTGGTTGCGGGCACATCCCTGGTAGGGAGTGTGCAAGAGGCGGCTGGTTGATGTTTCTCTCTCATCAATGTTTCTAGCTCTCTATCTCTCTCCCTTCCTCTCTGTAAAAAAATCAATAAAATATATTTTAAAAATAAAAATAAAATAAAGTAAAATAAAATAAAATAAAATGCAGAGAGGCAGGAGTCACTCGGAGAGAGGTGCACAGAACATGGGCGCAGAGAGATGCAGCACTGCTAGCTCTGGAGACAGAGCCTGGGGCACATGTCAAGGAATGTGAGTGGCTGCTAGCAGCTGGAAAGTGCAAGGAAACCCATTCTGCCTCAGCACCTCCTGAAAGAAATGCTGGCCTGACAACACCTGGATTTTAGCCCAGTGGTGTCCAGGCTGGTCTTCTGAGCTACAGAACTGTAAAATAATAAGCCTGTGCTGTTTAAGTCACTAGGTTGGTAGTCATTTGTTACCAAGGTTACCCAGTCACCCGTGCAGCCAGGTTACTAGGTGAGGACTAGCAACTCCTCTGGCTTCGCCAACCTCGCCAGTGCAGCATCCGGCCACTGAAATCCCACAAAATCAGGTACTTAGCACTAAAGACAGTGCCCCCCTTGAAGATTTGGATTCAAGAGGTTTGGGATACAAACATATCCATATTTAACTGGTGATTCTATTAGAAATGGTTGGTGGTCCACACTCAGAGACATTCATTTCTACGCTTAAAGAGTTTACAATTTAGGTGCAGAGTAAATGCAATTCTAATCCCTAACAGATAAAGAAATATGCATACCTCCCAGATAGACCAACATCCAGGGACAAGGGTGTAAGGCTGGAAATGGCCCAGAACACAGAAATGCTTCCATACGCTGATTCTGACAAAAACGGTTTGCAGCCCAGCTGGTAAGGTTCAGTGGTTAAGCCATTAACCTATGAACCAGGAAGTGACAGTTTGATTCCCGAGCAGGGCACATGCCCAGGCTGCAGGCTTGATCCCCAGTGTGGGGCATACGGGAGGCAGCCGCTCAATGATTTTTTTTCCTCATCATTGGTGTTTCTAAATCTCTCTCACTCTCCCTTCCTCTTTGAAATCAATAAAAATATATTTAAAAGAAAACGCAAAAAGGGTTTGTAGAATTAAGCCCGATGAGACCTCTGCCTGCTCTCCCCTCTGTGGCCAGTGCTTCCGGCTTGGGAGCAGGTCAAGTAGACATGTCAGCTTTCTACATTCTCCTGGAGAAGCATCCCCGAGGAGCACGGACCTGAGCCGGATCCCTCCCTGGCCTCCCACCTGTCCCACCTGCTTCTTTAGGAGGAGGTGGTGAAGTGCTGGTCCAGGGCGTGTCATCTTCAAACTGAACCCAGCTGCTGATGGCCGAGGCCAGGTCAGGCGGGGGCTGCACAGGGCTCCCGGGAGGAGAGGCCGCTTCAGAGATGAGGCCCATCTTCTCGGAGGAGTCATCCTGCTCCGAGTGGGAGAGGTCCTGAGAGCCTCCATCCGCCACATGGTTCTCCCCGGAGGAGCTCTCGGACTGGTCTGAGGATGAAGACCGGCCCGCAAGGTGCTCTTCGGTGGCCCCTGAAACAGACACCAGACAGCACATCATTCACGTGGGGAGGGTGGAAAAACAAAGGAGGGGCAAGGGGTGATCACAGGACTAAACAGTCTTGCCCATCGGCCTCTATGCCAAAGGAGTGCTTTCCTAGCAATGTGTTTAAAACGATAACCTCAGCATGACCAGGCTGAGATTGGGGTAGTCTTGCTCACTGCTCTTATCTCAGCATCTATACCAATTCTTGAGGGTCACGAATAAAAATGCCCACAGAGGCCAAGCAAGAAATATAACTGAGGCGAAGGAGAAAAGCAAAAGGCAATAGGGACTGCTAGAGAGTATGGCTGGACTGGAGAGCTTCTGCCTGGACCAAAGACATTTCAATTAAAACCTCAAACTCCTTGCAGTCCTAACTATACACCTGCAGGCTTCCAGGTGCAAACTCTGCACCAACCATAGCTAAACGTGGCAGAGGCTCTTTCCCTCGATTTGTTTCATTTTATTGGTCCTGAAACATTTAACTGTCTTCAAATAATTGTGTATTGTTGTTGTTTTTAAAGAACTATATTCTGGTTGTGGTGGTGGTTACACAAATCTGTACATGAAAAATTCATCAACTGTACGTAAAAAGTGGTCCATTTTACTGTGTGAAAACTTTTTAAAAATATATTTTTTATTGATTTTAGAGAGGAAGGAAGAGGGAGAGATAGAAACATCCATGATGAGAGAGAATCATTGACTGGCTGCCTCCTACATTCCTCCCCTATCCCAACCCACACACACACACATGCCCTGACCAGGAATTAAAACGTGACCTCCTGGTTCACAGGTCGGTGGTTAACCACTAAGCAAAACCAGCCAGGCACTGTTATAAAAATTTTTTAAAAGCTCAAACTAGCAAACAAACTAATAAAGCCTTTAGATTAGCATGGTCAAATAAATAAATAAATGAACCACATATGTAATTTTAAATGTTCTAGTAGCCACATTAAAAAAAAAAGTAAGAAGAAACTGGCAAGACTACTTTTAATAATATATATTTCAACCCAGTATGTTGAAAATGTATAATTCCAACACATAATTGATATATAAGTTGTTAAAGAAAAATTTAACTTTTACTAGGTCTTTGCAATCCAGTGTGGGTATTTCCCACTTTCAGCACAATTCAGTGCAGACTAGCCACACTTCCAGGACTCGTAACGGAAACACACCTCAGAACTCACACTTGCCAGGTGCTGTGAAGGAAGTGGGCTGGTTTCGGTGTAGCAGAGGCAGCTGCAGTAGAACAGGATCAGCTGGCATGGCTCTGCAACTATCTGTACCCTACCTTGAACTTCGTGCCTGGGCACCAGTTCCCTAAAAGTCAGGTTGGCGATCTTCATCGTGATCATGGATGGCAGACACAGAGCTTTTCCATGAGCCAGGCATGCACATTCATTCATTTCCTCCTCACAACCACTGGGAGGTAGGTACTGCGGTTATCCATGCTGCACGGAAAGACTGCCCCACAGAGATGTTGGATAAAAAATCTATCCAAAGGGCACCTCCCTCATCTGTGATGGAGCCAGGATTTGAGCCCAAGCAATCTGCCTCGACAGCCTGTCACTCTCAACAGTTACACTTTAAAAACTTGAGAAAATCCAAGTTGTTGCTGGGAGTAACAACCCAAAGAGCAGAGTGTAAAGTACATTGTAAATATAAAGTTTATGTTGCTTGGAAAACAGCAGCCAATACTTGTGCTATTTCCAGACCTTTCTCCGGGAACCCAAGGCTCCTAAGATGCTTCCTCCAGGTTTCTAAGCAGAAGAACCTGCATCTCAGGAAGGGACAGCAGGCTGGCTCTTGTTTCCACGTGAAGATCCCACCCAAAGAACAATCAAGTGGAAGCCATAGCCAGCAGGTGTGCTTCTCTGCCAGTCCTTTCCCTTAGGAAATGAAAGCACCGCTTACCCTCAGAAGAGACGGGGAAGAGTGGATCCTCACTAAAGGAGACCCACTCCGACTGCTGGGTAGCGATCACATGGTCCAAGGTCGTCATGCTAGGAAGGTGCTGGGCATCTTCACACTGCTGGTCTCAGGCAGACCCCAGAGTCGTGTCTGGGGTGGGGTAAGGGTATGGTAGCGGGGTGCACTTGGGCCTAGGAATCCGTTACGGTGATCTTGCAGGTGGCAGCACTCAGAATGTAGACAGAATGCCTTTGATTCATCTGCCAAGAAGAAATCTGTTAAAAAAATAAATAAAATTTAAAAAGGATACATAACATTATACCCAATCTACTCAGGTCTAGGGCCCTTTTAAATATATATATTATTGATTTCAGAGAGGAAGTGAGAGGGAGAGAGAGATAGAAACATCCACTGATGAGAATCATCCCTGGGCTGCCTCCTGCACGCCTCCCACTGAGGATTGAGCCTGCAACCCGAGCATGTGCCCTGACTAGGAATCGAGCCATGACCTTCTGGATCATAGGCTGACATTTAACCACTGAGCAACACCAGCCAGGCAGGTCCAGGACTCTCAACACTACCCACGAAGAGGTCTGGGTGGTGCCCACTGGCCTTACTGTTCTGAGCCCCTGTCTTGCTCCCACTTCTCCCACTCCTTTAGCATCAAGATCTCTGCATGTGCGACCACATCAGACTTGTAAATAACACAAATGTAAGCAATTAGATCCTCCTGTTCCTCCAATTATTTTAGTATGGAAATATTTTTAACTATGCTACAATGCCATCATTATAAAACAAATATTAAAATTTCCCAAAGTACTTTCACGTTCTCTTACCAAATGGCGAAGTAAAAGCATGCTCGTTCCTATTAAATCAGTGCAGTTTCTTGCCTTAGGCAGGTAGCTCTTGGCAAGCCTGAGTTAAAACATTGGGAGAAATCCAACAATCTCCAGATGGTATATCCAAGCACGGTTTACCAATTAAAAAAAAAATAGAAATGGAGGCATTTTGTTCATTTGGAGTAAGGGGGTAGGGCATATTTGCTTTAAGGTAAAATGTGTGTTAAACACATTCTGATTCTAGGCCCATGTGAATTAATACATAAAAGCTTAGCCTTTACTTTTACTGCAATTACATTCTAAGCATAGAGAAGGATACTTTACAGACTTATGATTTTGTTTGTAGTATTACTGCCCTTTTACAACTTTATTTTTTTTTTAAAGGTATGAAAGAGAATTTATTTAGCTTTGTGAGGCTTTACTTTCACAATAATAATATACTCATGACACAGGAAGACCCTTTAAAGTTTCATATATTGCTTTAATAAAGTAAATATTTATGTTGATTTTATGAAGCTTTCAGACATTAAGTTTGAGAAAGTTAATGATTAGCACAATTTGCACACATTATACAATCAAAACAGTAAAGTAAACCAAAGAACAAGATTTTCTTAACACCCCTAGAAACATAATAGCAATTTCTATTCAAACATAATACTTCTGCTATATTAATTTTTATGTCTGATTTTATACTGGCTTATTTTTCCCCCTGTGAAAATAGGTTACTTTTCTCCCCCGTGAAAATAGAAAATAATCTTCTGTGTTAACTCTTAATACCCCAAAGTCACTGGATATGCCTTGGCTCTATTATTATTGTTTAGAGTAGGATGTGCTTACTAAGCCAGTTATACTCCAGTAATTTTGTGAATGAAAAAGAAAAAAAATGCTAAAATAATTAAGAACAAATAATAGAGTCACTATTTCATCTATCCTCATCCTATTTCAGGAAAATCACTTCCAAAAAGCAATTCTGCCTGATAAATTAATGTTTAAACAGAAACTGAAAGAAAAGTGAAATAATGGGAAATCTATGATGGTTTATTAGACATTGTGCGCTTTTAATAGTTCAACACTGGTAATACTTGATAACCAAGAGTAAATTAATAGACTAACATTTTTAAATGTGTACTTTAATAAGTATAAAGTATATCAACAATTAGGTAAGCTTGTGGAAAAGCTGCCAAGATACATAAATTAAGAAACACAAGTATCTAAGTTTTCTATATTTCTTTTTTTCTTTTTCTTTTTTAGAATATTGAAGTTGTTAATGTACAATTTCTCATTAGTCATTTTGGAAGTCCTTTATTGTAAAGACTATTCTTTGATAACAAACAGCAGCCAGTGTCGTGATTATTCAGGACCTCCACATTGGATATATTCAATTTCTTCTGGAGAGACAAGTTTTCTTCTGTATTTGTGAGGTAATGTTTTTATTATTTCTGCAGTGTCTGGTGGACCCTGATGCATCAACCAATCTGACGATTTACTTCCCTTAGAATGCTGTGAAATTGAAGAAGAGTGAGAAGGTACTCCTGTTGACCTCACAGCTTCTAATACATTTGGTTTAAGATTATCTCTTCTGTTAGGGAATCTTATTAATGGAGTATGTGTCTTGACTACCTGCTCGACCCTGCCGGCCGACGCCATCTTGCTGCCCATCGCGACCCGGAGCAGGCCCCTTTACAACTTTAACCTTGCTCTTACTCTTATGATGACTTGATAAAATCTGAATTAATGAAAAATTAATGATTTTTCTGCAAAAGAGCTACTATTGACCTTGAACAATATTAGTTCTTACTACTCTCAGTATTCATTTTAGTCTAGAAGAGTTGAACTCATAGCCTTCTAAGTGGTGCACAATAAAAAGAAAATTTTATTATAGGTTATTACTTGCAGTAAGTAATCTATGCTGTGGAAAATCAGCATAAAAACATTAACAGCTTTGGGTTTGGGGGGGAGGGTTGTAATTAAAGCAATTACTTTTGTTGTATGATGCTTCCTAAAAACAACTAGTGTTTGTATAGAATTTACAATTTTTAGTATTTTCACTCAATAATTCATTTGATTCAATAGTCACTTTAGTAGAGTAAGATAGGTATTAATATCATTATTTTATAGATGAAGAAATCTGGGTTGAATAAGTGATTTACCCAACAGTATTTTTATTCCCAGGTCCTTGTTTTGTTTCTCCAGGCTTTTCAGTGAAATAATTCTCATATCCCAGGACACTGACAAATTAATTCTCTCCCTCCCCGACCCCAAACACATAAATGTCACCCCAAAATGATCAAGCAGGTGTGTTAGATACGCCCCTTGAACCCAGGTCTTTCAATGCCAAAACACTCTAATTTTTGGGTCACTGCCACAAAAAAAATACTAGAGAATATATAAAAACTACCACCCAGCTGAAACAATTTACAAATATCAATTATGATGGAACCATGATGAAATGGTATACGAAACTCCCCATGTGGAAACCCGCTAGGGCACCCAAGCTGTACAGAAGGTGTAAGGCCGAGAAATATCTCTCCCAAGTCCCTCTCCTAAGATCCTTACCAGCCATGAACCAGACATGTGCAAACTGACTGGAGAATGCAATGCTCCAAACCAGGTCTCCCAAAGAACCACATAGAGCCCAGCCCCCAAGAGCTGATTTCCCATGAAGCCTTTCTCTGGCCCAGTCAAACGCTGGAGTAACTCAATGTGGTAATGGCTGCAGGCCAAGATAAAACAGTAAAATTGAAGAGTCAGATGCCTCCTCTCATAACAGCAGCAACATGTAAAGAGGTCCAAGAACAACAGAAGAGCCACAACACATGTCCACATGCTGACACATGCAATGTTGCAGCTCAGTGGGGAAAACATCCTGTAGATCTCGTGATAATGAATTCACTGAAATTCACAGTATGACTGTGGATGGGAAAGGATTGTGGGAAAGAAAAGAAGGAAAAGGGTGAAGGTTGTGGGGGAAATACTTGGAAATTTTAGAGCTCGATGGATTTAAAGACCAATAGTTCAGCTCTCAAGTTTTACAGATGAGAAAACTGAGGCCTAAGGAAATTAGGTATAGCAATGGAGATTGAAAGCATGAGCCCAGGAGATAAGACTGTCCAGACTTCAGTCCTCGGGTCACCCTGAAACAGCAAGAATAACAAAACTCAAGAGCCCCCAAAGATCCATCTACCCCATACTCGTGAATCTCAGATGCAGGCATGGACTGGTTAGATAATGAGAAGTCCCATACCTGGCAGAAATTACAGAGAAGCCCATGAAATGGATTTCCAGTATTTGCCAACATACAACCACATCATCCAATAAGCCATCAGACGCCATACCTTGAGTGCTGTGCTAGCAGCCCGCAACCACAGAGGAACCCAATAATTGTGAGGCTAAGTTCACACTGGGATTGGTTTCTCTGGGAAAAACCTCACCCCATTTTTAGAACGTGAATCACAAAGTGAGGCTTAGGATCATCACCACAAATGACAGTGACTCAGTACCAGCAGCAGCACTGACCGAGAGACATTACAGATTTCATTGAGGTCTCCAGGTTGCCATTCCAGAGAAGCTTGTTTCTCAGCACCCTTTACACACTAAAATTTGGGGGTGGGGAATGCATTTGGGTGATAGGATTTGGAGTCACAGAAATAGATTTGTCATCAGCATTCAGGAGTCCTGTGTATCCAGAAATGCACTTGGCACTATTTGAGATAGTGACCCGCAAGCAGTCTGCAAGCTATCTGGGGAGATGAAGCTACACAGAAGAGCAAATACAAGAAATCCAGGAAGAACTGCCTATAGGAGGATATACCAAAAAATGCTGTTTGGCCACAGAGAGATCTACAAGGGCTGGAAGCATAAGAGGCTGGGCTAGTTTCTTGGATTTGAAGGACATCCCTGATTCTGGACTTTTGTGAGGGAAGAGTAAGGACATCCTTGGGACAGAGGAGCGCCATAAGTGACGATTAAGATTCAGACCTTGCCGAAAATGGTTTGGCTCAGTGGATTGAGCATCAGTCTGCGAACTGAGGGGTCCTGGGTTCGATTCCGGTCAAGGGCATGTACATTGGTTGTGGGCACATCCCCAGTAGGGGGTGTGCAGGAGACAGCTGGTCGATGTTTTTCTCTCATCGATGTTTCTAGCTCTCTATCCCTTCTATCCCCCTTCCTTCCTCTCTGTAAAAAATCAGTCTGATGAGAGCTGAGATGTCTACTGAGGAAATGTGGGGGCAAAGGATTGGTGGCCTTAATG